ACAGAAGACAACATGATGAAGAAGCGCTCCTCAGCCCGCTACCCACCCACTCTCCCTACGCCCTTGACTGCCCTAGGGCTGAAGAGTCGGAGGACAAAGACAGCGATGTTGCGACGTTTGGAATACCGGAAATCCGTTTCATGACAAATGCGTCACATTGTCGTGCCGGAGTGTTAAGCGAGAAATTGTGTGGAGGGGGTAGATGGAGGGGGGGGGGGGTGGAGGTAGAGAGGGGGCGAGGGGCCATGTTTGTAGTAGTACAACTAAGCCGGCAAACAGGCAATGAAATTCCTTCAATGGCAGCACGTGACTTGCCAGCAGCAAAAGCAGAGAGCCAAGCAAAAGAGCACAACGCCGCGACATTGACATTGAGAGAGCAAACAGAGACAGAGAGAGAGAGAGAGAGTGAGAGAGAGCGCGCCTGCGCTGCTGCTTCAAAACAGTAACCCGACAATCTCGACGTGCCGGCAGCAGTCTCAGTCTCAGTCTCAGCCTCAGCCTCAGCTTTGGCATAACTTTAGCATTTTAATGAGAAATCCATATTTATGTTGTTTGTTTTGCCAAAAAAGAGAAATAAAGAAAACAACATCGGGAAAAAGTTGTTTCTCTGTTGTTGTTGCGGGCAGCATATGCGGCGAAAGTGAAATTACAGCATTTGGGGGGGGGACGAACATTCTTGTTGCTTGAGGCACTTACGCAGGACAGACTTGTGTGGCGGCATTTTGCAATCACTTTTAATGGGCTGCGTCTAGAGGCGCCATATGGCAGTAATACCTACGCCAGGCAGGCAGTCCACTCCAAAAGCACACGGACAAGCAACAACAGATAACCGAACATTAGAGTCCTATTAACATATTCATTAGGATGTGGAGTGAGGCTCCAGACGATCCATTGATAGGTTAATACAACAATTAGAAACTTTTCAAGTGGTGGAAAATGAAATATTAACAATTAGTTTGACAAGCTAATTTAATTTTTCATTTAATTAGAATCTAAACAATCTGTTATTTGTCCTCAATACTTAAAAAAATAGAATTTCCGATTAAAATCGCTTCAGAATTGAGAATTTTATCAATGCTTTATAAATCTAAAAAAAAAAAATGACATTTACTATGCATTTTGGAATATAAATATTTGTTTTGTTTTACTTCCCTCTGGATTCGTCTTTACAGATTCGTCGACGGGACCCAAAATATATCGGAGAATACAAAAACTAAAAAAATTTCAATTATATTATTCAAAATTGGGTTAGGTCTAAAAACTCGTGTGGATAAATATTTATTATTTATTATAGTTTAGATAGAGCATTTACAATTTCAATAGTGCTTCAGAATTGGACTCTTTTTATCTGCTAGTATTTACTTTTTTGATTGTATGCCGAAATATAAATGGACTTTTAACTATGCCACGTCGGAGTCGTGTCACAATAGAGTCATAACGCCATCATTCCGGCAAAAGCCATAAAAATAGCGGCTTAAATAGCAACAGCATGTCTAGCATTTTGCCGCTGCTCGCCCCTTCGTCCTGGGAACACCCTGGGAAAAGAATGTCGAGACGTCGCTTCATTCACGTGGCTGCAAAAAGCGTCCACTTCACACTTTTTGCACTGGCACTTTTTGCCGGGCTTTAATAAAGAGGCAACAACAACAGCGGGCAACAATTTTATGCTTTTATTGTGCAAATAAAAACACGCGGAAACTACTTAATCAACTTCCATTCGCAGCCCAGACCCCCTTATATATATATACTTATATATGTATGTATATAGATACAACACACACACACACACACACTGACAAAGAGAGAGAGTTCTAGACCATGGTCTCCGGCAAAGAGGCAGCGTCGTTTTGTATGCAACAGAAAGCAAAAACCAAACCCGGCTAACAGCAAACTTTGCCGACGCTTTTTTTTTATATGATTATAAGAGCAAAGACAACAAATACAACAAAAAGAAATTAACATGGGAACGCCAAAAGCTGAGACAACATAAACGATACTCGACATAAGCGAATTGCATTTGCTCTGCTTTGGATAAATGACAAAAAGTTTAAACAGAGAACCAGGTTAGGCGAAGAATATAATAAGAATCAAGCTCCAGTTTAGCTTAATGTTATAATATAATATATAATTTATATTTATATATATGATAGCATATCGAATAACTTAAAGGAAGTGCAGCATTTTCAATCAATGGAATATTTACTTATATATGAAAGAAAAACGAACTATTTGTATTTAATCTGGGGATTGTATTTAAAACTAAATAACTTTCAAAAGTTTTCGATTGTTGAAATAGTTATCAAATATTGTACTAAATACATCACAACTTTTTGGTTAATTTTTGATTCTTTTCACGAGAACGAAAACAGTTTTATAAACAACCAAATAAAGTGGTAGTCCAGAAAACTATAAAATTAGAGAACATGCAACTTATTTAACCAGTAATTATGCCAACATTATCAACTCTATCTTTAGCCAGTTGCATATCTTTTCACACGTCTAATAGACCCCATTAAGCTATTAATTCAACCGAAATTTTCGTTTGCGGCCCCAAGAATGTTTCGCTCCAACTAGAGTTGAAATTTATGACAACAATTAGTGGGCGGGGCGGGACTTACACCCGAATCCAGAAAACATAAAAAAAAGATAGAAAGCCCAAAAACAAAAGTCTTCAATTAATTTGTTGAGCTGCTCAGACAACAAAACGAGCGCATCAATCAAGACCCAGTCAAAGGAGGAGCACCAGGAATGAACCCTTGTCCGCGGGTGTGAAAAATCGACAAATGGACGCAAGTTGCAAGAGTGCTTGTGGCAAGTGGGGCAGCAGTTTTGGTCGCGTGCCACTGTTGCAGAGGCGGAGGCAGAAGCTCGTAAATAAATGTCTTATTTTTAATTACCGCACTCAAGTTGAATTTTAAATGCCGACACTTGAAGTGGTTCGGGTCTCTTCCGATAGGTTTACACCTGGCAATCACTTACCTGTATCGTTTCCGTTGCGGAATATTTCCGATTATAATCGACATGATGGAGGTTCGGCATACTGACTTGCCGTGGGCTGGCCTCACTGATAATGACTATGCGATAAGGATGTTGAACACGTGTCCTTGTCCTTCCTGTCTTCGGCTATGGGGGTTGCTTGCTGCAGGCTCTGTCGCGGCTTGTGTCTTTGGGGTAGTACTTGCTCTACATCCAGATATGTCACTTTATTATACATTTGTGTTAATTTTTGTTGTTGCCCACGCTTCAAATGGTTTAATTTGACTGCAAGAGAGGGAAGGAGTGCCAAAGCAAGAAAGTAAATATCAAAATGAATTCGAGCTAAAGTTCAAGTTGAAAAAAGTGTAAATTACTTTCTCTACCAGCCCAACAAAAAAAAAAGCTACCCTCTGGGCTTGTTTACCCATGGCGATATTGTTAATACGCCACGTGTAACCCAACAGGCAATATGTGTGCTGGAGAGACAGAGAGAGAGAAAGAGTGAGTGAGAGGGGGATGTGGCACGGGCGGTTGGGTTTGCCGGATTTATTGCCAAGTTTACGCTACGTGCCTGGACTAAATTTATAAGCCAAATCCACACACACACACACATGCATACACACACAAAAAGGCAATATTCACAGCCAAGAAAGTCTGGCAGTTTTGATGCACAATGCGGCACAGTTGATTAGAAGTATTAAGAAAAGACTGCAAATATCTGAGCAGGCTTTAAAAAGTTTTCGCTTATGCTTATATTTATATATATATATATTGACAAATATATGTACATATATTGATTTTTAACTTTAAATACTTACGGTTATTCAAATAGCGATTTCAAACGAGATGCAATTGGATATACTGTCTTGACTCGTGCTGTTTCATTAAGAATCTAACATTAATGAATACATCCTGTTTTTGTGCGGATATATTATTTGCTTGCCAAAACTTTCTATAATGCATATGTAGTAGGATAAAATATGTACATGAAGAAATCATTTTAAATGAGAGGCATTTGTTGGCTTTCTGGCCAAAATCGAACCGATTTGCGTAAAATAACACATAACTGGTAAGGCTCCTGATTTAATGCTCCAATTGAATTTGGAAACACAATCGAACTTCATCAAAAGTAAAGACAAAAGATGTATCGATGATTGATTATTGATTTCTCTCCGAATAAAATCGCTCAAAGTTACCCAATAAAGTAGCCTAAGTAGGCTGATAGTATTTTCTGAATTGCTACTATTTGAGCCCCTCTCCCCGCTGGCTGTGCAAAATATATGTGCACGTGCCAGCTGTTTAGGCATTCATCGTCATGTGTTAGACGCTTCAACTAACTAATTAGCACAACAGTTTAATTCGAGCGATGCGACTTGCATGTCTTGAAGCTGAGGAGATTACAGAGGCGCATGGCGACTGTGGAAATCAACTCTCCCTGCCAATAAAGCTTACTGAAACTTCCTATTTGAGCTGGCTGGCTTTCACTGGTAGTGGTGTTTTGACAAGGCTAATTGACTTTTGTAGCCGTCATAAATGTTGACACGCATAAAAAGCAGCCACAGTATGGCAAAAGAACCGTCAACCGTTGAAAGAAAAGCGTAACAGCTGCCAAAGGCGAGTCAATTTCATGCGCTTATTAAATTTTATACATATTTTATATATACATCCCAACAAGAACTATAAGAAACAATCGTAAAACATATGCAAACTTCGAGAGAGTGAGTACATAAAGCTCATCTCTCATTAACTGTCGTCACTGGGTTGTCCTTCGACAATAATTTGCGAGTGACTCTACCCAATAAAGAAATTTTGTGACTAGGTTTTTATAGAAAAACCAGATTTTTGTTGCTGAACAAGAGTGAACACAATAAAAATATTGTGTACGTAATGTATTTTAATTGACATGACAAGCACCACTCAAAACTTAACGTAAACTGAAACATGCCCCAAACAATAAAAAACTTTATTTGCCAATTACAATTAGATCAGCAAATTTTAATGATATATGTATTTACAAATTGGCCCGGCTGCAAATGCCGCCAGGCGCTTAAAAAATTGAGTTTAGACTCATTAGAGTGCTCCTCTCCACGGAAATCTTTAGTAAAAGGCGAAAGATTTATTCGACAACTGAAGAGAAGCCAGAGTGAATTAACACCTCAAAACACAGAGGTTCTACCGGAAGAAATACTTAAACTGATTGGGAATTGTAAGACATATCTGGACAACCCTTAAGGTAGGCTACATCACCTAAATTATGGACTCATGGAGAGACAGGCATTTCGATAGTCTTGCATGAGATAGTTTTGTAGGTGCATCGCTTACAATTCGCAACTGGTTTAAGTAGAGAAATTATAGAGTACTGAAGCTATTTGAAGTTAAAGTTATCGCTTCTCGGCCTTATGGCTAAGATCAAAGTGTAGTATCTGTTCTTATCAGCTTAACATCTGATAGTTTCTCCATTGGAGAACAACAAATGTTAAACTGATTTTTGGAATCAGACGGAGTGCTAGGGGCTTGCTCCACCTCTGTCACGGGTTGGCCCGGTATTGCAGTACCGCCGGGATTTCGGCCCAACTGAATAATCAATTTGAGGATGATAGAGAACTATGGAAAACAGCTCTCGTAGTTGTATTTGTATTTCGCATGGGAATGATCTGTATTACATTATCAAACTCATTCGTAGTCACTTTGAGCTGTGATTTTACTGTACTGAAATATAAGACACTGCCGAAGGAGTCTTTTGAATGAGGAGAAGGGGCTATATTTTAATCATAGTGTGTGCTGCAACCGTCCTTATTTTTTTGGTACATACAGCAGAATAAACTCGATAGTAGGTCAGCCATAATCCTTAGCTCGATCTTCGGCGTATTTTTATATATCAACTCAAGTGTTGCCATAGTGCTACACAAAAGAATGCCAGATCGTAAAAAATGGTAACAAATTTGCTTTTGTTATGGCCTTTTTATCGTTATGTTGTTTACTTGGGTTAAAATTAATGACGCATTTCATTGGCGGCGGCACTGAAATGTGCTGCCAGCTTTAATAAATTTCCAGATGAGTTGTCGGCCGCCTGCCGCCTGCCGCCATAACACTAATTAAGTGCAACAACAAAAAGAGGAAAGCTTGTAACAAGCAACAACTACATACCACTAAAAACAACAGCAACTCACTCATTTTGTGCCCTGCGGGAAGTAAGCAGCAGTGAAGTTGATTTTCATCCCAGGAAGAGAGCTCCTTATGGTGCTCCATATGCTGCAGGACCTAAATTTATTAGCTGCTTATATGTGTGTGTATGTCTGCATGTAAATGTGTGTATTTGTATGGCAGATGTTAATCTGAAATCACATAAGGTCCACTGGATATGTACAATACGTTAAATGGTTTAATAATTGAGCTAATGCTACTCGAGGCATTTCATTTCAGCATTTCTGCTGACCCGCGGCGCTTAAAGCTGATTGCAACATATGCAAATGCAAATAGGGCATTCGCATCGAATTGAATCGAATCGAATCGAAAAGGACTTGATTTAAGAGTCCTGCCACGCACCAATGCAGCAGACAGACGTCTCACGTTGCAGAGGTTGAGGTCAGCACTTGGCAATGCACCGCACAACTGCTGTCAAGTGGCAAGTGGCTACCGGCAAGTAGCAAGTAGCAAGTGGCAAGTGGCAAGCGGCAAGCGGCATGTGACTAAAAAAGCCAACTGCAACGACAGTAGTGGCAGCTAACAACTAAGCAGTCATAAATTATGCAGCAACATAGTCAAAGGACAACAGCAACCAACCGACGACAACGACAGCAACAAGCAACAAGCAACAAGGACATGCCAAGCCATTGCCCTGCAATCCCTTTGCCCCATCCCCATCCCCATCCCCATCCCTAACCCATCACCCCACACCTCATCCAACTCTATATCTCCTTGCAATACTCGAAATGGCTCAGCAGTTAATAAGAACTAGTGCGGGAGGAGGCACAACATAGTCGTCGCTGCAATGCAGTGCAGCAGTTGCAAATTATGACAAACTGTACACACAACCAGAAAACTTGTGGGCCAGTGCACAATAGGAAAATGAACAATGCACAGTGCACTAGCCAAATGTGCACAGTAATTCAATACAATGCAGTCGCAAGAAATATAACTATTCGAGAAATTTAGCAAAAATAAAAAAAAAAAAAAAATTTAAGAACTTAACTTGCTCTAAGAAAACATGAAATTAAAATTAAGATCTTAAGAACGCCGTTTTGAAGCTTCTTAATAACAAACATAAAAGCTGCTTTCATATTTTTATATGAAAATAACCCAATTTTGGAAGTACTTGACTAATTTTTTTGAATATTTATATAAAGTTCAATTTAAAAAAAAGGGCCAAATTTATGCTCAAAATCGGTTTAAAACCAATTCTCGACATATTATTTAAAAATTTAAATAACGATATTTGTAAAAGATTTGTGCACAAATAGTTAAATCAACATAATTAATCTAATGCATACAACAATATAATTTTTAAGCAATAAAATCGCAAACTTGTAATGCTCTCTAATCCGATTTGTGCCACTTTCATTTTTTTATGCGAGTTGATGATAATCCTCTTATGTTCCATGGCATATTAATAAGAGCTAATCCGATTACGTCATACATTTAAATTTGATTAAAAATAAAGATTGGCAATTGGTTTTAATTATGCCACATAAGTGTTAAACCACATTTGTTAATTATCAAAGGAAAACCGGCTAAAGAAACCCAAAACTTTGCCGCCCATAGTACTTGAAAGACATTTTACTCGTTGTAGTCAAATGTTTATATTCTAGTTGTTGGCATGAGGCGAGAGAGAGAGAGCGAGAGAGAGAGAGAGAGAGAGAGAGAGAAACAGTAACTTTATAGTCAAGTCAGAACGCAACAACAACTTGTCAAGGAACTTTATGAAAAACTATGCAACAGACTTGAGCCAAAAAGTTTGTGGCCCAAAGTTGAAATTGCAGCTAAATGCCCAACAGGTTAATGGCAAGAAAAACCATCTGCCGACTTTCACAGACAGCTCGCAGCTAATTGCAGCAACTAACAATTTCAAACATTGCCATAGCTATGACAATTTACACAATGGGACAAACCCTTGCTCTGCCTCACCTCTCCCATTCGCCCTCATCGCATCTCTGCGCCAGCAGCTTGACAATGTTCAGGGACATTAACTTGGCTCATTGTTGGCAACAACAGATGGATAGAAGCTGTGCAAAAAACTTAATGAAGTTCACAATTACTGTGCAGCAATTTAATTAGATTAAATTAAGTTTTGAGCAACAACAGCAGACGGGCAACTTTTGACAAAGTTCAAGCCATTTGTCAGCCGCAATCATCACCGCCGCCGCCAACAAACTTTGCCAAAAATGCCAGCATAAATAAAAAATAGAAAAAAAAACAGCCAGAAATCAATAAATTAGACGGGCACTTTTGACAGAGCTCAACGCGAAAGCGAAATCCCCCACAAAAATAAACCCAAAACCAAAAAAAAAAACCAAAAAAAAGCGAACTGTAACCGAAATATAAACAACAGAGAAAAAGCGAAAGGCGAGCGCAACAACAATAAAAATTTATTGTTATCCTCAAAAAACAAGTGAAACAATCAGCAATAAAAACAAAATAGCAAAATGCGTTCGGCAATGCTGAAGTTGAAATGCTCTATAAAGAGTATATCCACTAATTCCTTAAATATTCCACAACACAATTTGCCAGATAGCAAAATTCACTAGATCCAAAGTTAATCAATCAGGCTACAAATAAAGTGAACATAAAAATATAGTTACCATAGCATATTGATTAACTGTATAATTAAATGCCAACAATATTAAAAAGTTAATTTAACTGATTTGCTTATATGTTTTGTCGATGCTGTGCTGAAAAGTGGCTTCTAACATTAAACAATTTGCAATTAAAATCCTGATAACATTTTTTTTAAAACAAGAGATGCAGCTGAGAAACCATTTGGACACAAAATCATAATAACCTGCATATTAAAGAGTATACAAAAAACACACACAAACAAATAGAAGTAAAATCAGCAGCAGCAGATATCAGCTGCAGCGGTGTGTGGCAAGTAATTTAAGCGTTGAATACTTGTAGGCCACAAAATGCGTGCAAATACTTCTTGAGCGGCGTTTTTGGGGCCTAAGCCCGGCCAGGACTTAGCACGGCTGTTAGCCGTATTAAACGGATGTTGCTGCCAGCTAGACAGTTTAAGCCCGCAGACAACGCAAACTTTGGCAGCTGCGATTTTCAATTCGAAAGGAAAACAAACATGGCCATAACGGTAAAAGCACAACACCCTAAACAAGTATGCGGCTTGAGCACAAAAGGAAAACACTTGAAAATTGAAGTGGATGCGGTACACAAAAGTTGGCCATGTTACCCACTTGTTTACGCTTGTAGTTCTTTGATTGAATTTTTCGGCTCCATCGAATCGAGTGAGTGAAGTGGTGGCAAAGTGGGAAGGGAGTGGAGTGGAGGGTTGACCTGGCTTAGAAGCAACAATTTGCCACACACATATACACAAATTATGGGCACAGGGCAGACGCTGCAACACATCTAATAAAAAATTAACAAACCCAAAACAGAACGCAGCCAAAAACTGAACACTGAGCCAGAGACACACACACACAAATACACGTATATATCCTCATGTATCTGGCCACTTGCAACGATTTGTACCTGTACACACAGGCGACACAGGCGACACAGGACACCCCCAGTCTGTCCACGAATTGCTATGCACAGAGGACCAAAATCGAAAAAGCGCGCAAAATGCAGGCCAAATGGGGTTACCAAATAGCGCCGCCAATTCCCAATGGACAATACAATGAGTTGCACAGTGACACATAACACTGAACTTATTTAAAACAAAAATGAAAAAGCTGAAGAACAAATTTAAATTGTTAATAATTGATCAAAGATTGATTACATTCAAATTATTCCAATGAAGTAGCCTACTTAGTTGGAATTCATCATCATGTGTTAGACAATGCGACTTGCTTGTCCTGACAGAAGATGAAAGGAGATTAAAATGGCAGAAAGCAGGTTTTAAAAACGAAAACTCTTCAATACTTGTGAAAGTTAATAGAATATTGATGAGTATCATGATGCAATTCCAGTGAGTAAA